GTTAGATGACCATGACTGATTAAAGTCACCTTAAAGTACATCTTTGATTAGATAGAAAGAATTATTAAAAATGCATCTGTAAATTACAAGACATTTTTTGGGGGTAATTGGAGAAATTGAAAATTGATTGTGCAGTACATAACAACATGTGTTACTCTGAAGTTTCTTGAGTGATAATTATATTGTGGTCCCACAGAAGAACATCCCTTTTGGGAAATATATGCTAGTATTTTGGGGGGTGAAGTATCATTTCTGCAGCTCACTGTCAAATTGTGAGAGACAAAGAACTAAAACTAAAAGTATGTCAAAAGGATAATCACTGGTATACAGGAACTTGTTTTAATACCCTTACAACTTTCCTGCAAGTTTGTTATTCTCCAAAGTAATTTTATGTATTTGTAATGCTGTTCACAATGAGATTCTGTTACTTTAAAATCAGAAAAAAAAATATTCAACAAGGAAAGAAAGAATACTCTGTTTTTTCCATTTTGCTTTCCCAACGTTTCACGTCAATTTCCAGGATGTGACATCAGAGAGGGTTAGGGTTAGGCAGGCCTGTGTGCCTCTGCGTCCCACCTCTCCACAAGTCTGTCCAAGTGCTCTTTCTGTTCATGGTGATCATGGAGTGCATTCTGGAACACTCCTCACTCTCTGATGGATGGATTCGGGGGCAAGTCCCTCTCCTCTGGGTGTTTCCTTAGGCATCTAAGGGACAGTTGTGGGTCTAATTCCCTGACAATAGAAGATCTTTCGGACAGAACTTGTAGGAATTGGACAACCCGCAGGGAATTAGATGAGGGTGAATTATGTGGCTGAACTAATGGGAATATAGGAATTCCCTGATTTCCCCCTAAACTGCTTTAATTCAGCCCATAGGAACCCCGAGAGAGACATTGAGGCCTTTGGCCCCACCGTTTCACCTGGAACCCCCGCTCCCACAGCCCAGCCCCGGAGCAGCGGAGCAGCGTGTGTGCCCGGAGAGACGCCGACGTCTGCCTGGAGCACTGCTCCCCGTGGCTGGGTGCCTCCGGGATGCGAACGCTTCTCAGGGGTGATGTCACAGGAGCACTACCCGGCTCGGTGGTGTGTGTGCATCCGAATCCTGCAGGATTTCCATCAGTGCAGCTTTTTCATCCCGAAATCTCCTACTCCCTTTTATTCCTCCGTAGGCGCCCCACACAATTCCTCCTCACACCTCACTGATCACACCATCCCCTCGACTGTTACAACCTTGGGGGTCAATTTCTGTTTGCACAAGTGATCTGCCCACCCTCTCCTCTTTTTGGAGGAGGGGGGAATATTTAATTATTGTTTTTTTAAAATATTTTATTTATTTATTTTTAGAGAGGGAAGGGAGGGAGCAAGAGAGAGAGAGAAACATCAATGTGTGGTTGCTGGGGGTCATGGCCTGCAACCCAGGGATGTGCCCTAACTGGGAATCGAACCCACGACACTTTGGTTCGCAGCCCGTGCTCAATCCACTGAGCTACGCCAGCCAGGGCACTAATTATTGTTTTTTTTTTTTAATTGTTGTTCAAGTACAGTTGTTTGCTTTTCGAACATTTAATGGATCTCCAATCATTCCTCCTGTAGGGATCTGCCCCACTCTTGGACAGCCTGCGGTGTAACCCCAGAAGTGGATTTGTTCACATTTCGTGCAGAAATAAAGGTCTAGGTTAAGGAGTGGTGGTGTGCTGGCCTGTTACAGAGAATGTTTAGATCGTGGGTACCCCTGGGGTCGGCCAAGAACCTGGGGGGGGGGGGAATCAATCTTTTGTTACTAAACTAGGGTTTTAAATTCAACCGAGGCAAGCCACTTGTCAAAAAGATGCCCTTCCCAATCAGGTTTACATTGTGTGTGCAATCCGTGTCTTCCCGAAACTGTTTGGCCTGCGGAGGGATACATGTGCAGAATCCTGGCAGGCGCTCTGATGCGGCTGGTCGGTTTTGTCAAATTTGTGTACGTGCTTGGCTACTACTGTCAGTGTGCTTGAGGTCTTCTTGAAAAAAAAAAAAATTTCAGGTCACAATTAGATGAGGAACAGAAAAAAACATCAAAAATGCTCATGTTGATTAGCGTAGATCTTCCCGAAGGAGTTTGTGCTACAGTGAATTCAGGTGATCCAGGAAGGTCTCTTTTCTCCCTGCTCACCTTGCCCGCCCATCCTCCCTCAGAGGTAACCACCAGATAAGAAGCTTTTCTGAGTCACGATTTTGAGGATGATTTAGCATAGTTTATTAGACATTTAGAAGGCCGCTGTGTAATAACTAGAAATACAAACCAGCAGTGGAAAACCCAGGAGTCCCTTGTACTTAGAGAGGGGAAAGGCAGGCATTGGAGCACATGTACTGAGCAGGAGCCCTGGAGAAAATCCTGAGCATCTTGATCCTACTGATCTGAGGTCAAGGCTGTGGGGCTGCTCTTCCAGCACTGGGAGGTGCTCACACCTTTGAATTGCGTTACTCCTGCTGGTTTAGACATTTTGCAGGTGTGAAGTCTTGAGCCACCCAAAGCAAGAAGGAGAGGCCTCAATACAAGGTCCCCCCGCACAGCCCAACCTCATGCAGCAGGGCAGGCGGTCAGGGAGCAGCAGGGAGCCTGGGGCAGAGGCCAGGCCGGCCTCCCTCAAGGGCAGTCGAACAAAGTGCTGTGGCCACCAGAGCCACCAAGCCATAGGTGAGCAGTTCAGATGGTCTCCATCCCTTTCTGTCGGAGGGTTGTAAGAGGTTTCTGCTGTCCTTCTCGAGAAGTGAAGACTCACGGACGCTTCCAAGGATGAGGGACTCAACCAACAAGTTATGTCCTCACGGTGTGGGAGGCTGGAGGTCCCAGATCAGGCTGCGGGGATGGTCTGGTTGTGGGAGGGCTCTCTTCGTGGCGTGCACACAGCCACTGTCAAGCGATAGAGGTATAGTGGGGAGCAGACGGAGGGGGGAAAGCCTTAGCAGCCAGAGCAAGTGGAAGCCCCAGTAGTCCCTGCTGACTCGCCACCTAGCAGCAGCACTGCCTCTGGCAGCAGCACTTCCTCTGGCAGCAGCCCTTCCCACAGCCGCAGCCACAGCCACAGGAGCCACAGCCGCAGCCACAGGAGCGGCGGCAGCAGCAGACCACGGGGACGCTGCAGCAGCCCCCACAGCAGCCACAGCAGCAGGGGCAGCAGCGGGAGCAGCAGCCGACCCGGTAGGTGCTGCAGCCACCACAGCCGCCGCCACAGCCACCACCGCAGCCGCCACCGCAGCCACCGCAGCCACCGCAGCCGCCACAGCCACCACCACAGCCACCACAGCCACAGCACCCCATGGTGTTAGTAGAGCGGACTCAGGAGAGGCGAGCAGGGAGACTCAGGAGGTGAGGGAGGTCTGATGCCCCTCCTGCAGGGGGCGCCCTTTTATACCGTCTTCCCTTATTTTTTAGCCCAATTTCCAGGGAAGAATCTCACAAGACCTTCAATTTACTTCCTTCTCGAATTCCTTTGCTATGATAACATTGCTATTTTTAACTCAGCAGCCTCCTTGGAGACAGCCGTGTGCTGCGTCTTAGTCCAGAGGTAGAGAAACGATAGACTGAGTGTAGGAAACCAGGTCGTGCCAGCGGCCTGCAAACGGTGCCGGCGTCACAGACGTGGACCGGCGTGGCCATTCCCGAGTCCCCCTGCAGGCGGCGTCTCCAGGACCCCGGGCCGTGGAGAGGGAGGCCTAGAAGCACCCGCCAGCCTTCTGTTTGATGAGAAGTAGATCAAGGGAGGGCATTTCAAGGCTTCCTTCTCCAAAGGAAAGCCCGTGAACCAGGTGCAAGGTGTGAACCCGGGGACACCAGTCCTGGGGGAAAAGCAGACCCATCCAAGCAGGGTTGTCTCGGATCCAGAAGCTGCAGTTTCAGTTCCAAGAGGTGCGGAGGAGTCGTCTGCCCTACAGGGATGAGCCGGTCTGGCCTGAGTTCTCAAGACAGCGAAGCAAGAGCGTGCCTCGATGGGCGACTGACCGCCCCCACGGGCTGGCTGTGCAGGAAGTGGAGGGCATCGGGCACAAGGAAGCGGCTCATTTAAAATAAACTTTTCCCCGGACCGCGGTCGGCCGCGTGCTGAGCCTGGCCACAGGTCTTCACCCCGAGAGGCAGGAGGGGACGCCAGCTGCTGGTGCGGCCTTCGCTTTCACGTTTCCAATGACTGAAGGGACGGACAGCAAGCAGAAACTTCACTCCAGGAAGCTGCCTTAGGAGTCGGCTGCACAAAATGATATTTTTGGCATCTGGCATCACATGATTATTATGTTTGAAATTTCTAATAACCCCAACATTTCTTATAAACAAAGAAACTGAGACCCAGAAGGAGTACGTCTCTGTGGTGTCTTTAATGGTGAGATATGATACGAAATAAAACACATTTAAAGATGTTTACCCTTTCTGTTTTGAATTTTTTTTGTACCTCTTTTCTTTCTAGAGCTTTTTTTAAAAAGTAATTTAGGGGTGTATAATGAACCCCAGTAGAGAGAAAACAATCTTTTTTTCTAAGCTATGATGACTAAAAAGTGTATACAGAAACACAAGGATTTTACCTGGCTCTACATTCATACTTTCATGGTTATAAAAAAATAAGAATTATTCTGAAATATTTTAGACATTTACTTAACTCAACAGACTTCTGTTGAGCACTTGCAAAGAGCCAGGCACTGTTCTGGGCCCTGGGGCAAAACATACGCACGTGCTTGAGTTCTCAGGGCTCCAAACTCTCAGAAGTGAGTTCTGGTCCAAATTTAGACCTAAGAGTGGAGTCCAAGTTCAAATGAACAACATTACCCGGCAAAGACTTCAACCAGGAAGGACACGAGAGGCCTCACGAGATGTTTTATGGGAAGTGGGATAAACAACAGGACGCTGTTTCTTCTGGGTTCAGCTCGTGGGGTTGGTATAAAAGGGCACCCCCTGCAGGAGGGGCATCAGACCTCCCTCACCTCCTGAGTCTCCCTGCTCGCCTCTCCTGAGTCCTCTCTCTACTGACACCATGGGGTGCTGTGGCTGTGGTGGTGGCTGTGGCGGCTGCGGTGGTGGCTGTGGTGGCGGCTGTGGTGGCTGCGGTGGCGGCGGTGGTGGCTGTGGCTGCAGTACCTACCGGGTCGGCTGCTGCTCCCGCTGCTGCCCCTGCTGCTGTGGCTGCTGTGGGGGCTGCTGCAGCATCCCCTTGGTCTGCTGTCGCCGTCGCATCTGTGGCTGTGGCTCGTGTGGCTGTGGCTCATGTGGCTGTGGCTGCGGCTCCTGTGGCTGTGGCTGCGGCTGTGGGAAGGGCTGCTGCCAGAGGAAGTGCTGCTGCCAGAGGCAGTGCTGCTGCTAGGCGGCGGGTCAGCAGGGACTGCTGGGGCCTCCGCTCGCTCCCTGGCTACGCTTCCCTCCCTCCGTCTGTCTGCTTCCCCTTGTCTCCCTGGTCGTTCCGCCTCATGGCACTGTCCTCTTGGTTCTCATGTTCTAAATCTAAATAACGTTCACTGTTTTTAAGGTAGCCACGTGGACATTTCATACAATGTCACCCAAGGAAAACAAATGGAGAATATATTGATTACTGAGCTCAGCAAGATGTGATAATGATTTCTACTGTGTTTACTTCTTTCCGTTCTTTTCTGTCTATGCATTGAGTCTTCTTGCTGTTGCCTACACGTTCTGTCCTTACCGTGGCCATAGACTCATTCTAAATGCTCTCCTAAAAATCTCCCAATAAAATGCAAACATAAACTCCAAGCCGTTTCCCTTGCTTTATTTTTAGAGCTACTTTTATTGAACTACTGTTAATTATGGTCTCCCATGGGATGGGCCGGTCAAAGATAACACAGATAATTATGCCCTGGTATGATTTATGATACAGCACCGCACGCATAACCTCGAACGCAGGTCAGAATAGTAACAAACATGTCAATAGGTCTTGATGCCGTGTGTCATGTCTGGGTGGGGCCTGGGTGTACAGGGCAAAATAGCTTTAAGAAAGAGATGACATTTGGGTGGGTAGATTTTGAAGAATTAGGAAGGTTTTGACAAGTGGAGAAAATCGGAGACAGATATTCCAAGAAGAAGGGCAATGGTACCATCCTTGGACATGGGGCCTGGGGAGGAACCTAGCTTCAAGTGGGGGCCTGAGGTGGTGGGGTTGAGGAAAGGATTGCTGCCCTTACGAGAAGAGGAGGACACCCCAGAGCTCTCTCTCTGCCTTGCGGACTCACAGCGAGAAGGTGGCATCTGCACCCCAGGAAGACAGCCCTCACCGGACGCCAGCCGCAGTGGCAGTCCGGTCTCGGGCTTCTAGCCTCCAGACTGTGGGGACGCAAGGCTTTGCTGTTGAAGCCCCAGTCCGTGGCATTTTGGTCTGCTGGCCTGAGATGGCTAGTACAGTCATGTAACAACACGTAGTGACCTCTGTCCTTTTCTGAGAGATGTGGGCTCCTGGACAAGGTAGCCCATTTAAAAATTTATAATAAATATGGTCAACACCTAGGTGAGGAACGGGCCATTTCCTCTAAGGTTGTTTGTCTCACTCTGTAAGGCGTGGAGGTTAAGGGGGTTGACCACCTAAAAATGTGGTCTCATAAATTACACATTATCTCCTCTCATAGATCACTCTGGTCCTATTCATGAAATATATTTTTTAAAATTTTATTTATGTATTTTTAGAGAGAAGGGAAGGAAGGGAGAAAGAGAGGGAGAGAAACATCAGAGTACGAGAGATACAATGATTGGTTGCCTTTCACATGCCCCCAAACGGGGACCTGGCCTGCAGCCCAGGCATGTGTCCTGACTAGGAACCGAACCGGCAACCTTTTGGTGCACAGGCCAGCACTCAATCCACTGAGCCACACCAGTCAGGGCTAATGAAATACTTATTCTATTCCATTGGCATGGACATTTTGAGAAGAGGCAGGTCAGTTTGATTTGCTGTATTGGCTAATCTAAGAAGATCTAGGCTTGAAAAAATTGTTTTTTGGTCTATTTATCTAATCTTAACCTTTTTCATTCATTTGTAAGAGGAATATTTAGATTCAGATTGTAGACTGAAAACATGCTTGTATGAATCACAGGGCTTTGGTACACATTATGGTATGCTAATAAATATTGTTTATTTATTGTTAAAATAAATAGATACTATATATGTTTGTATATATAATCTATAAATTATATATGATTATGTGTTATATTTATCAAAATTTATTTTGTCATGTATTTATTCATGCATGTAAATTATGCATATGTTATATACACATACATCTATACATGGCAGGTTAATGCGTTATATGTTATATCCAATGTTTACACACCTATATTTGTGTATGTGTATGCATGTGTGTGTTTGTACATACTTATGAGGATATATATTATGTACACATGCATATGTATTCTCAGTGTCTGAATTTGATGACTCAACACGTGACTTCTGTCCCTCCATGCATCTGCAGTTGGTGGGGCACGTGGCCTCAGGTACGGCGGTGGCTGTATATCATAAGATGCATAAATTATACTTCATGTCTTCCTAATATCATTCTCGGAGTTTAATTTTGGTTCTAGTTTGGGGCCCCCTTGATACTACGTGTTCTGTTCAACCTCCTCCGCCTCTGTGTGTGTTTACAGTAACGACAGATGTTATGGGCTGAACCGTGTCCCTAAAGTTCTGGTCTCAGTGTGACCGCGTTTGGAGGAAGGGTCCTCCATCTCCCGCAACCCCACCCTTCCCTACAGAGGGCCGTCTTTGTACTGCATGCCGATACGGACACACCTAGGAATGCATCCTGATCCTTTTTGCTAGCAGCGCCATGCAGGTGTATTTATTTTTCAGAACGTTGATCTTTTTCAGTTAGAATTACGTCTTGGAGATCCTCGCAGGCCAGTTCACGCCAATCTGCCTCGCACATGCGCACTGTTCTCTGGTCGCTCCCCGCATCTTCAGGTCAGACTCTCTCAGCCTGGGCTCTGTGGTGAGCGAGGTCGCTCTTTGCAGTCGGGCTGTGCTCTGTGTTCATGGTAGGAGGCTGAGCAGCACCCCTGGCCTCCGTCACTAGGCCCTCGGTGTCACCACCACCCTTCTCCTCGTCACGGTGGCCACCAAAGATGTCTTCGGACATTGCCAACGTTACCTGGAGAGCCAAACTGTCCCTGGTTGAAAAATAAGGTTGTGTGTGTACATACATATATATGTTTTCTCTGTCTCTGTCTCTCTCTGTCCTAGTCCAAGGCCCTTCCCCGTGAAAGTCATTTTCCAAGCACATTTTCTGCACTTTGAATGCTACGGAGATCGTGTTAAATGGGTCTCCACTTTCTCTGCCCGACTTGGTTGGGAGAAACCGTGACGTCCACTGCTCTGTCCATTCTAGCTGTGAGGAGCATTGCATACTATATATTCCTCTGCATTAATCTTTCGTCTCAACTTGGATTTACGTAGCTCTATTTTTCCTTTGCTGTGATTTCATCAACTCTTTATCTGTCTGTGTGTTTTTTGAAAGCCATCTCGAATCCTTTGTGAAATGAAGTGGACTACGGGTAAGCAAGCAAGAAGATATTCCGTCAAACAAAAGCCGCCTGTGCTTCAGCAGGAAACATGTTGCTGGTTACTTTTCTTTCCTGGAGCTTCCGGAGTTCGGCTTCTCTGATTGGCCCTGATGGGTAGACCCTGAGCCCTTTCCTTCCTGCAGGTGAAATGCGTACTTTGTGAACACCTGTCACTTTTCTCTACGATAATTTCCCCCACACTCTCAGCTGCCTTATTTTGATGCATAGTACAAGATGGACTGCATGATTCCTCAAAGTAGCAAATTGTGCATTATGCCAAAGTGGCAGGTGAGGCTGGAGGAGACACTCACCTGCACCGTGATAAAGGCCTCGCCCTCCTCTCGTCCACAGAGGTGGGGCTGCACGCTTCACAGTCATACCTCGTTTGTGGAAATCCAGGTAGATTATGTTTTTGATGGTCCCTGAAATTATTCTTATCCTGAAAGGCACACCTGCTAACACAGACTTTGAGTAAGGGTCACCCAAGTAAGGGAGAAAAGCGATTGGCTGAAGTCCCCCGAGACGCACCCCAGCCTCTCGTTCTGAGGTCCAGTCAGGGGTTGAACCACTTGTCTGTTCGTCTTCCCGTGCTGTGACCTGTTCCCCAAATCCAAATCATTACTCCGTGGTGTTTTCTCATACTTGTTTGTGCAAACACTGCTTTTTGGGACATTCACCCCAATTTGAGATCCTTGGTTAAGATTACACAGTCCTTTTTCTGTATGAAATTCACTCTTGACTTCATTTTCTTGATGTTACTGCATTTTTATTTCTGCACGTGAAAAAAACAGCATATATATATATAAAATCATGTATGTGGAATCAACTAGAACATGACTACTAAATAAAAACAATATTGGAAAAATATTTTTTCTTATTATTATACAAGACAGACATAACTTTTCTGGTGGCTTATTTTTTTGCTTATAAAAAACCAAAACCTTATTAGTTTTTAAAAAATAGCTTATAAGTACTTGAATATCTTCACAACCCCATCGTTCATGCATATCCTCTGTTCAAGAGACAGCTCTTTTCACTGGACTGTTTTGGGGCTAAGCCTCCAATCACGGAACAGACCTTGATGTATTTGGGATCCCGTGAGCCCTGGGCCTGTCTGCAGAACCGGAGCTTTGCAGGGGAAGACACGGAGGGAATCCCACAGAGGGACAGCTTCCCGCAGCACGGCATCCAGAGGCGACCATGGCCATAGACGTGCCCGCGCTGGCTGTGCATCCCTGTGAAGCTATTTTACGGGGGCAGTTGGCTGGAGCCCAGGGAAGGGGCCTCTTAGCGTTAGCCAGGAGCGACTGCTGAAGAAGATGAAGGCTGATCCTGGTGCCCTCACTCCTGTGCCCATTTGGGCCTCCCATCGGTGGTGACGGTGGTGAGGAGGGCGCATGCCTTCCAAGGGGTGCAGTGATGGAGGTGTCCCAGTCTTTTCTAGGACCTTCTCCCAGCAACTGTTTGATAGCAGAAGTCAGTTACTAAACACTGTGTACATTTATTGAAGCTGATGAGTCCCGGAGACATTTTCACTGAACATTTTACTGGTACCTGGGCACCGCTGGCCTTTGCAGGAATGTCAGGCACGGTTGCTATTGGTGCGGGAGCACTTCTCCGACTTCTGCACAAGGTCGGCCTAGAGAGGAAAGCTGGTGTCACACACAGCACAAGCAATGCTCATTTGTTTAAATACCAAGCATGCGAAGTAAGGGTTAACAGCACGTTAGATAACCGTCGATGTTTCTGTGCTGAGCTCTGGCACGCAATGCGGGAGAGCGAAGTGCACCCGGGCCAGGGAAGGGCAGA